TTGAGAACTAATGAAATTGCTTCTTTGTTTATAGTCTTGAGAAAAATTATACCAAAAAAGTTAAATCTAAACGCCATGCAATGCAACTAATTTTTAGTTAATTATGAATACAAACAGAAGGGAATTGGAGTCAGTTAAAATTGCAGGGTTGTAAATTGAAGTGTTGGTACACCTCGATTTACCAACATGTTAATCCCAATGTTCGAAAAATCACTATGCAGTAAGGGAGCGGCAGGCAAGGGCTTACCGCCTAGAGGAGTAATCGGGGCCTATGCGAGTGCCTATGCTTTTTTTAATAAATTATTTAATATTATAAGTTATAAATTTATACCAAAATCATGAAAAATAAAAAGGATATACAAATTATATATTAAACAAATAGTATAATATTTTTTTGATTTAAAATATTAAAATATTTATTCGTTATTTATTTGTTACTTATTAGTGGTTATTTTAGTGATTTCATAGTGCAAAATCCATTTAATGTTGTATTTTATGAAGCCCAGGCCCTTCTCTCTCGCCCAGGCCCTTTTCTAAACCCTAAACATAACTTGCAACCTCTCTTCTTCTTCAATCCTCTTCCTCTCTCTCTCTCTCTCTCTCTCTCTCTCCTCATAGCATCATCGTCATCTCGTCCTAGACCTTGGAGTTCCAAAATGACATTTTTTTTCTTCTAGGCGCCGGCGCCCGCCTAGACCGCCCAGCCCGCCTAGCAACCACCTAGCAATCGCCTAGCCCGCCTAGCCCCCGCCTAGCCAGCCTAGCCCATTTATTCAACTCCATTCAATGCTTTTTATGAAATAGCCTTTCAAGTGACCTTAATTGCTCAAGGGGACAGGGCCGGCCTTGGGGGTGGGCGGGAGGGGCCATGGCCATGGGCCTCCAATTAAGGGGGCCCCAAAATTGTTTATATTATATATGTATACTAGCATCAAATATAAAAATATATAAAAAATCTGGGGGACATTTCACGAATTTGGAATAAATTTTTGGGGTCCAACTTATTAAAAAAAAAACACACGATAAAATTAAATGAGGAAACACGATTCCTCTTCCGAGAAGAAAACCCAAAAGTCTTCCTATTTTCCCACGCAGTGCCTATTCCTAGTTTCTCCATGGAAGAACATACTCTCTATTTAATCCACCACCATATTATTCTTTGTTTTTCCAATTTCTCTTCAATCCATCTATTATTTCCAGTTTCTCTCATCCCTCTTTTCTCATATTGTAACCCTAAGAATCAATCTCTCACTGAAAAGCTCACAATTTTTCTTTTTTAATCTGTCTTTGAGATTGATGGTGACCAAGAGGAGAAGAGCATGGGAATTTCAAAAGGTAATCAGATTTATGAATTTTTCTTTATATTTGTTCCTATCTAGCAAACTATTTTTTCAATTTCCAATAGGAACAAAACACATAGAGACCCATTATAGAAGCAAACAACAAACTCTTTCCTTGGGCTATTGGTTGCTGGAACATCGGTTTGTAAATTTGTAATTTCCTTCATGATATTAAATATCTAATTCGAATTTTTTTTATGGAGATATTTCCTACTATAATGCATACTACCTTTTTTATTTGCTCATAGCGCGCAAAGTAAAATAATTTTATTTGTTATTTTTTTCGCAATTATATACTAAAAAAGGGGCCTCATTTAGTTTATGACCTAGGGCCATCAAAAGTCAGGGCCGGCCCTGCAAGGGGATGTTCCTCTGTCTATTGTAATGACGGTATGCGCAACTCTTGGAGTAGTAGCCCTGACTCCTCTACTAAAAAATATATTGGCAGGGACTTACGTCCTTGTGGATGCTGCCAAACTGTCAATCAGCACCATGCAGGTTAAGTTAAATATAATAAACTTCAGTATATTATATTATCCATCAGCTGAGGCTTATGGTCTCTATTCTGTCATCTGTAGGTCGTTGTTGCTCTAATTTTGTTAGGTTCTTATATGCAGAGTGCATTTCCTGCAGTGGTTAAAATTGTGATACCTTTTGCACCACTTTTTGCTGTTCTAGCTGCATCACTGCTTGCATGCAGGTACATTTGCTGTGCATACAAATATCTTTTTAATTACTTATATGTAAAATATGATTGTCTTGCCTGTGGTTCCTTCCAAATGTGCTCTCTTTCTCAAACATACTAGATTTTATTTTGATGGCCAATGTATCCTCTGAGAATGTTGTCTGTCTCAAAGATTCAATGGTTGCTGTAACATTGCCGGCTGATCTGTCTCTAATGGCTCATGCTCAGACAGTGTTATCTGGAGAAGTTGGGGTGGTTATTCTTTATGTGCTGTTAGTACATATTGCTGGTTTCTTTGTAGGGTAAGTTGCCTTTAACTGTTGGTGACTTTAATTGTTAAGTGTGTTGTTGTGGAAAAAGCTCAAGGTAATGTATACATTTTTTTCATTATGTAAAGATTCACTCTAATTTTAGCTCAAAAATTCTAAAAACATTACGTTGTAGCCTTGTATTAGTGTATTATTGCTGTTTGATTTAGCTTCTGTCAAGTTTGATATATAAATTATGGATTGAAGTTAACTATACTTTGAAAAAACAAAGTATTCATAATTTGTAAGCACAGTCCCGATCTCTTGGACCACAGGAGTCCAAGAGATTGTGGTCACCCACCGTTGGATATTAATCCAATGGTTCAAAAAAGTTTCTTAAAAGGAGTGCAAGAATGAGTGAACCGTTGAATTTACATCCAACGGTGAGTGACCACAAATCTCTTGGACCCATGTAGTCCAAGAGATTGTGGTTACCCCGTTGGATATTAATCCAATGGTTCAAAAAAGTTTCTTAAAAGGAGTGCAAGAATGAGTGAACCGTTGAATTTACATCCAACAGTGAGTGACCACAAATCTCTTGGACCCCTGTAGTCCAAGAGATCGGGACTGTTTGCAACAGTTGAGAAACTATAGTTTGCTGTCATTATGACTTCATAGCCATAAAAGCTATTGCAGTAAGAAAGTATATATTCAATCTTCTTTATCTATGTGGATTTTAATTTGACATATGAAGATAGAAGCTAGTTTGTATACGAGCATTGTTGGCAGAGTTTGCACTCATACAAATATTCTTTAAGGTTGTGGTGCTGGGCAGCGACAATAGAGTTTGAGCAATTGAGTTTTTCCTAGAGAGAGAGAGAAAGTGATGGATTTGGGCATGAGGAGGAGATGGGTAGCGGCAATGGAGTTTGAGCGATTGAGTTTTTCCGAGAGAGAGAAAGTGATGGATTTGGGCGTGAGGAGGAGATGGGCAGCGGCAATGGAGTTTGAGCGATTGAGTTTTTCCCAGAGACAGAAAGTGAGAGTATATTAAATTTAATTATAGTTTTAAAATAATATTCTATTTCAATTAAACAAAAAAGTAGCCCCCACATGCACCATGTTAGCATTTAATGATTGACCACGCGGTCAATTTAACGGAAGAATAAAATTGGACAAGTTTGAAAACATTGGGGTGTAAATTGATGAAATTGATACCCCGTGGCTCATATTGAGAATGTCCCCAAACCTAGAGGGTGTCTTTTGATGTTAGTCCTTTTTTTTTTTAATAAAAGGAATAGCCATGCGGCTATACCTTTTAAATATAATATATTTAAATAATATCGCTGTGTGGCTATACTTTTTTTGACACGCGGCCACCGCGCTAGCCAAGTACTTTTTTCTTTTTGTATAAATAGTATAGCCGCGCGGCTATACTATCGGATATTTTTTAAAATAGTATAGCCCGCGGCTATACTTGGGTTTGTTTAAATTGTTTTTAAAAATAGTATAGCCGCAGGGCTTTACTGGTTTTTTTTAAAAAAAATAATAATAAATAGTGTAGCCAAGCGAGTCTCATCGCCCTCCTCTCCTCAGTTCGCCCTCGTCTACGTCCTCGCTTTCGATTCAATGTCAACCTCTCTTCAGTCCGTCGTTGCTGTGACTCTTCCCACGCTTTTGGGTCTGGTTTGATCGCTTTCATATTTTCCTCCCTTGCTGTTTGGTGGTTCGTCTGCTTGTGTTTGGGCCTCGTCTCCTCTGGTCTCTACCATGTGTGCGCCCGTTTCTGATGATGATACCTTGGTTTCTGGGGTAGACTTCATGGTTCCTAAGCGCCTGTGCATTGATGCCTATTCTAACAAGCCTATGGAGACAGGTCTAGTGGGCTCTCCTGGGCTTCCTTAATGTATTATTGGAGCATCTGTGGGCTTGACATCCGGCGAATGCTTTTGTGCCTGATACTCGATTTCAGGTTAAGTGGCTGGGGCCAATTTTGTTATTGTTGCGTGGTGTTTTCTCAGTTATCCTCTCAACACATCTTTGACTTTTCACTTCTCTTAAGGACTATGGATTCATAGGAGTTTTCCTTGTTAGTGTTGGGATGATACAAAATGTATTTGAGGACTTTTTTGTTTCTTTTTTTCCTGGCATATTCGTTGTACTTTGTCACTTCCCTTGTGTTGCCCCCTACAAACTTCTCTATTTTCAACACCATTATTAGAGGTGGATAGAGCTGGTGTGCTTGGTGGGTTCTCTCTTTCTTTCTGGAGCTTTGGTGTGTTCTCTGTCAGATGCTCTCACTATTCTATGGTTGTGCAAAGGACTATGATTTCATAGCAGGACTCTTTTGACAGTTAGGTTGTGTTGAAGTGTCGTTGGAGGTCTTTGAGACAGTGTTGTTTTGCTTTGCTTTTGTACTAGTCTAACGTGACTGTATCAGACTCTCTTCCTAGTTCATAACATGTGTGATACTCTTTCCTACCTAGGGTTTGTTCCCTAGGAAGGTTTTAACGAGGCCACTATATCGTGTCGTTCTATGTACGTTATTTCGGTTCTATGAATGAATTCCATTTCTATAAAATTTTAAAAAAATTAAATTAAAAAAAAAAAAAAAAAACTCAATAATTATACTCAATATTGCAAAACTCATTTAACATTATTATGAAATAATTACAAAAACAAATTACATAGGGAATGCCTTACATAAATTACAACCATGAGTACATATTCACAAGAGGAAAATGACCACAAACCCCACGAATGACTTACCATAAGCATCTTATTAATAACAATAAAAGAAAATAAAAAATAAAAAAATATCAAGCACAAGCACAAATTATTGAGCCCAATACATAATTCAATTCAAATTTCTTCCTTGCCAAGCATCCCCAAAAAAAATGCAGTTTTTTTTTTCTGAACCCTCCACCTTAATTCTCCACCTCTTCCTCCTCATACTCATCTCCCTCATCCTGCGCCACAGCATCCTGGTACTGCTGGTACTCAGAAACCAAGTCATTCATGTTGCTCTCTGCCTCAGTGAACTCCATCTCATCCATGCCTTCCCCTGTGTACCAATGCAAGAAGGCCTTCCTCCTAAACATGACCGTGAATTGCTCGGAAACACGACGAAACATCTCCTGGATCGAGGTTGAGTTTCCCATGAATGTGGAGGACATGGCCAACCCAGTTGGTGGAATGTCACAAACACTTGATTTCACGTTGTTTGGGATCCACTCGACAAAGAAGGAGGAGTTTTTGTTTTGTATATTGATCATTTGCTCATCCACTTCTTTTGTGCTCATTTTGCCGCGGAAGACGGCGGATGCTGTGAGGTAGCGGCCGTGGCGGGGGTCGGCAGCGCACATCATGTTCTTGGCGTCCCACATTTGCTGTGTGAGCTCTGGGATTGTGAGGGCCCTATAGTATTGGGAGCCCCGAGAGGTTAAGGGCGCGAAACCGACCATGAAGAAGTGGAGGCGGGGGAAAGGGATGAGGTTCACGGCTAGCTTTCGGAGGTCGGAGTTGAGTTGGCCCGGGAATCGGAGGCAGCATGTGACTCCACTCATGGTTGTGGAGATCAAATGGTTCAAATCACCAACTGGGACATGTGAAATATGCAAATGCAGGGTTTAGTTTTAGAAGTTGTAAAGTGTTTTCTCTTGCTTGGTTTACAAGTTATGTTGTCAAACTCTCAATTTAAATCTGATTTGGTACTATTTGAGATTGACGGTCTAATGACATAATATGTTAGTAAGTCTAAATAAGAGAAAATGCATGTTTTAGTGGATATGTTGTCTTGTTTGTCAATATTTAAGGTAGTTTAGATTCATGGTTTAACAACATAACATGTCAGTTAGTTTAATAAGAAAAAATGCGTTGTTTCTCAATATATAACAATTTGTATTGTCGGACTCTTAATTTGAGGCATATATTTACACATTTTCAATTATTTAACAATCTAGACTGAAAGTCTAGCAACATAATATGTTAGATCATCTGAAAACTTGCAATTGAATTGAACTGATGAACAATAAACATGCATATAAATGACTAAAAAGTAATTACTTACAGCTTGGATTTGTGAGCTTGAGAGTTCTGAAGCAGATATCATAGAGGGCTTCATTGTCAAGGACCATACACTCATCTGCATTTTCCACCAATTGGTGAACAGATAGGGTGGCATTGTAGGGTTCAACCACAGTGTCAGAAACTTTTGGTGAAGGGAAGACTGAGAAAGTCATCATCATTCTATCTGGATACTCCTCCCTGATCTTTGATATCAGTAGGGTCCCCATCCCAGACCCTGTTCCACCTCCCAGTGAATGGCAAATCTGGAACCCTACAACAAAATTAAACCCTCAATTAATTCAATTATAAAAAAAATTAAGTTTAATAAAAATCAAAATTAAGACCAAATCCAAATATACCTTGCAAACAATCGCAATTCTCTGCCTCTTTTCTAACCACATCAAGAACAGAATCAATCAACTCAGCTCCTTCTGTGTAATGCCCTTTAGCCCAGTTGTTTCCTGCTCCATTTTGGCCAAACACAAAGTTATCAGGCCTGAAAATTTGCCCATAAGGACCTGTTCTTAAGCTGTCCATGGTCCCTGGCTCAAGATCCATCAAGACTGCTCTAGGCACATATCTGCCACCATTTGCTTCATTGTAGTACACATTCACCCTCTCAAGCTGAAGGTGAGAATTTCCATTGTATTTTCCAGTGGGATCAATCCCATGCTCATCACACATAACCTCCCAGAATTTGCCTCCAATTTGGTTTCCACATTGCCCAGCTTGAATGTGCAAGATTTCTCTCATTTTCTAAATTGTACAAGTAATTAATTCAAAAAAGAAAAAAAAGGGTTTTGGGGGATGAAGATGAGTGAAAGGTTGAGAGGTGGAAGAGAGGAAAGAACAATGGAAAAATTATGAAATGGTGATGGGTTTTTGTAGGCCTTTGTTTAAAGCCTTGTTCAAGTCTCTTCTTGATATTTTTGTGTGTCAATTTGAGAATAATAAACTTCATTTAATAATTTCATGTGGGTTTGTTCAGGGAGGCATGTCAAACTTCCAACAAGAGTTGTGAGCTGGATAAGGAAAGCGACAACAAGATTCATGCTTGCTCTTCTGGCCACATTCAATCTCAACTATCAAAACCCATCCCCTTCCCAATATTTGATTTCACTTCTGTCATCAAGATTCCAAAAATACCCCATTTTCTTAACTTGGTGATTTTGTTTTTGTCTCTATCTAATTTGGGTTAATTATTTAGCACATTATGAGGACCATTGTCATTAATGCTGCGCTATCCTCTATTTTAATATATTCCGAGAGAGAAATGTTATATTCAAAACCAAAAGACGACAGCAACACACATTCATATATAGAACACATTCGTATATAGAGGCAAATGCTAAGAATAGTTGTTTACGTACACGTAAATGATTGTCAGTCATTGATGAATGTGAATTTTATAGTAAATTTCTCATGTCAAGCAAAGCTCTTATTCTTTTTGTTGTTGTTACTTTATTCGAAATTTTATTTTTCTTATTTCATGATATGCCATGTGCCAATAAAAAGCTTGAGTTTTCATAAACAGATAGCTTCATTTAGATATTGTGTAATGGTTTGATTTGATCTGCTACCCTGAGATTGTGAAACATGTACTGAAGAAAACAAAGTAACTTAATAGATTTATCTTAGCTTTGATCTAATACCAATTAGAACAAGGCATGTTGTACCTTTTGGATTTCAACTTGGTTTTTTCGTTTGGGTTGTTTAGAGAAACTTTATGTCTGGATCAGAGGTTGGCTTGTCTGTTCAAAGTTATCTTTCATTTTGTTTTATTTCGTTGACGGGGTAACAAGAATTATACAAAATACCTCATTCACATACCAATCCCAATACTTGGATGGAGCATCATACGCATGAGTTTTATTTAAGAGCTTCTATTACACTGATATTTTCTAAGACTTTTCATTATTTTGACGACATCATTGATTTTTAGACGAAAAATTAACAGAATGAGTTTTGCGAAAACAATTGGAAACTTTAATATAATTCTGAAACATGTTTGTGAAAATACGAAAACCCTCACAGAGTGTCATTGTAATTAAGTCTTCCCATATTTATTTATGTATTTATTGTGATTTCCAGATCGAGTTAGGCAATTCATACGTATTCTATAATGTATAAATGTAAGAGAGAGAGAGAGTAGGGAACTGCAATTATTGGATACATGCATGGAGATTCCTGTCAGTCTGTCTCATATTTTATGCAATCTCTTTCCAACACCCCACTAGGACTAGTTGGCTCTTGCCTGCTTGGAATCCAATGTTGATTGTTGAACTTTCTTACAAAAACCATCTTATATAATTTCTTAAGCAGATGTAATTATTGATCAGAAGTAGGAATCCAATGAACACACTTGATCTAATTCTTATCTTCACAGCATTTGGGAATATTTTTTCTTCTTCAACTATTTGGAAAAATAATAATAATAAAAAAGAGAGAACTGATTAGAAAAAGCAACACTCTGACATGTTCAACCTTGACGATTGAATTAGTGGTTGTCTAATATGGTATCAGAATCTCTAATTACATGAGGTCTCTTGAGTTCAAAACCGAAAATTCACATTTTTCATTTCTTTGTTGATTTGCAAAGTGAAGTGTAGTAACCGTTCTATATTTTTAGCCAAAACAATTAGCTACATGGCTCTTTACATCTAGCTATATATATGTGAAATGTCTCACTTGCCAGATGGGGCTTTTACCTATTTTTAAATAACATATAAATAATTCAATAATTCTGGAAGAAGAAATAAAAAAAAAGGTAGAAATAAGAGGGGAAGAAGATATCAGAAATATGCTTCAACAGATGTGTTAGTTGTTGGATCATATATTTTGAAGTTCTTAAGAAAATGACTGGATTTTGAATTGGTAAAGGCTAAAGAGTTGGATGAACCACCCACTTCTACGCTATCACCACCACCACATTATGTTGGGATGTTCCCTCCACAGCAACCACACAACCCATCATTCCAGGTGTACACAGATACATTTGACATATCCCCTCACCCTTTCTCCTTTATTTCTGGTTCTTCATTATCCATATTAATCTACTAGGAATTGCGGATCCACCTTGTATTGGACTTAAGTTAGAGATGATATCAGTGTGATCCTGAAAGAAGCGGAGCCCGACATGAAATGACTGCTTAATTGAGCATCCAAATTAACAGAGTATGACTCTTGGATTCACAATGTAGGCGGTAGAGTATATAGATATTGGTAAAGAGGTGAAGAAGCAGAAACAAGCATGGACAAGAGCATGATCTGAAAATGTTGTGTGGTTAATCTCCTACCACATGATGGTAAGGTAACTATTTGGACAGGAAGCAGGAGCACATGGCACACATTGGTAGCCACATGACATGGGCATGGAGTGCCCCAACATACCATTACATTGTTATAAATGAATTGAAATCAAGAAGTTTCCTTTATATTTCAAACACCCATGCCTAAGATTACATCACAAATTACTCCTAGGGGAACATAAATCCCTAATATAAAAAACTAAGGTAGCTAACAACATAAACAACTAGGATCAAACCCAAATCCAAATGGCTCCACTGAAGTGCCTCACCTAGGTTCCACCTTAACCACCTCCAATACATTGGGTGGGATTAGATCCAAAGGATCTCTAGGTGTGGGGTTTTAATTTAAAAGGCCTTAGTGCAATTAGGAGTGGACCACCAATATTTGAACTGTAAATTATTGTTGTATTCTTCGATGTGGGACTTACACATCATGGCTTGTATCGAGCGGCCTACACCAAAAAATGTAGTCCTAAAAAACAGGGTCTATTTGTTGCCCCCATACCATACACACAACTCCAATGGCTTCTCAATTGGTGTTGCACCTGCCAAACAATTTAGCTTTCAGTATGAACTCCGAATTCCATCCAAAAAAGTAAAAAAGAAAGACTTGCATTCTTTCTATAAAAGCTAATCAAAACTGCACTCTTTTACCAACTTCATTTGCAATCATGAAATTTTCTATATTAATCTTGTCATGTCAAAAATTATACATTTTAATCCATGCCCAACACACAATCAACAAGAGCAGCATACATTTGAAGCTGTTTAAACCTCAAATGACAGGCACATGGATAGTTTTTTTTATTTCTATTTCTCAAGTTGGGTTTTGACTGAAAATTTGAGCCCAAATGCAAGTGTTGGGATTAGGTAGCGGTACAATTTAGCTGGAGTGATCAATTTGGACAGGCACAATCAATTTAAACAAGAAGGCTTCTAAATGCACCCAAAGATCTGATTAATACACCTAGCTCCAAAAAGAAACTGTCATATTTCCTCATTCATTCTTATTTATGAATTAAAAAATAATAATTCAGAAAATAAATATAAAAAACTGGGTGCACAGGCCAAATTCTTTTTGGTGAAGTTTGAGTCAGAAGAACTGAGATATATATGTTGCTATTTCAGATATTTCAACTTCTACTGCAGTGAATAGTAGAGCTCTATGATCAAGGAAAGAACTTGATCAATCAGTTGGAAGATGATCTGATTACATAAACTGGAGCAGTGTTAAATTAGATGATAAGCCCCATGCCTAAAACAACATAAAAAATTGTTCCTGGGGGAACACAAATCTCTAATCATAAACTAAAATAAAAAAAACTAGGAGCAAATTTGCAAGGTTTACACACCAAATGGCTCCACTCAAGTGCCTCAACCTCAACTTCAGTATAGTAGCTCCTCAAAAACAGGGTCTATATTTTGTCCCCATTTTTTGTAATACAACTCCAGTAGCTTCTCAGCTGGTGTTACACCTGCCATATGATTTAACTTTCAATATAAACACCAAATTCTCTCGAAAACGACACCTATTAGAAATCTTTTGCATATCAGGTATATTAACTCCTAATTACATACCAGTTCTAGCCACCTCCGCCAACTCATTCAAGAAGCCTGCTTCGTTAAAGCCTCTTCTTTCCAGGCCAGCCTGCACAAGAATTGATGATGCTATGACTCAGTCACACACGTACATAAACACACTGGCTCTCTCTCTCTCTCTCTCTCTCTCTCACACACACACACACACACAGCAGCAGCAGCAGCTACATCTGCTGCAACTAGCAAGTAAAGAGCAATTTACCTTTGCGAACTGGACCACATCTTGAGCAACATGCTTTAGCAATCTACCACGAAACGGTGTCTTTAGACCAGTTTTGGGGACCTACAAAATGTAATTTTACGATTATTAGATTTGGAAACTTAACCATTGTAGAATAATGTAGGAGACTTGTAGAAGAATGAGCTTTGTTCTGTAGAATATACTTTTCACATCACCTGATCTCTCAGCATCTGTCTTTCTTCAGCGGTCCAGTCAGCTATCATGTCTAACACATTTTGTAGGGAAACCTCATCATACAACAAACCAACCTGACATTTGAAAGAAAAACAAAATCAGCTGATGTTTCTGGGTTTTAGTAGTTAATAACGTAACCTGCAGAAGCCAGATAGCTGGCATTCAGATATGTTATATGATCACAGGTTACATATGAGCCAGCTACAAAGAACATAAACGAAACCCCAGTGCATACATAATGATAAATATTTACTCCATCTGTTATCAGAAGATGATGTTCAAAAGAAGTGAAATATACTCCAAAACTTCGTTTTCGGCTTGTGTATAGATCAGAATAAATGAACTAGTTCTGTATAAGGAGGCAGAGTGCGTCTTACCCAAAATGCAGGCAAGGCACGTATGCTACTCCAAGGTCCTCCATCAGCACCCCTCATCTCCAAGTTGCCAAATATAGTGTAATTGAGAGAGTTGAGAATGTAGAACAAGGTAGGTTTTGCAGAGAATTCAAATCTGCCAATTGAATTACTAACTTGGTGAGGGTAAGATATACAAGTATACAAGGCTGATTATTAGTTACAAACAATGCACAAAACATGGAGGGAAACATGGAGAGTTTCCATCCCTAAAACAAGGAAATGAAAACAAGGAAAAGTAGGAGAGGTGGTAGACAAGCCTTTTAGGGATGTCTATGTTTTGTCTTTGTCTTAACTAACACTCCCCCTCAAGTTGGTGCAAAGATATCACGCATGC